GACAAGTAAGTATAAGAAAAACTTTCGTAAAACCATGTAAGGATAAGAGCACATGCCTACCTCTTTAAAATCATTGGGACATATTTAATGATGAAATATGGAATCCTTGATTAGTTTGGTAACGTTGATATTAATGAATGACATACATGTAAATATTTATTTTGATTACCAGCATTCAAATTTTTCATCATTCTCAAATATCAATATTTAAAATATGTTTTCATTATATGTATATGTAGAGCAAAGTTTTGTATTTTGTAGTTTTTTAATTTAAAAAAAATTGATAAACCTTTTTTTTCCTTTTGCTTTCTTTGTAACAAAAAAATATACTCATTTTATGCTCTTTATAATTTTTTGCCCATGTTAAGGATAAACGAAGATTGAGAGCATGTTAATTGACCTAAAAATAAATGAATCTGATGGCAGGCATCCAATTTTGGTTTTTCCATGTGCCAAAAAACATGTGCTGTGTGTAGACTGCTTTATATCCTACTGTATCATACAACTGAATGAGAGGAGATTTGTAGAGGACCCAGAAGCTGGCTACAGTATTACTTGCCCAGGTAAAAAGAAAAACCGGTGTCATTGACATAAAGATTTAGATTCTTTTTTTAAAGATTAAGTCATATGGCAAAAATCTCTAAAATTTGAATTCAACTATTCATGAGTTATACATGTATTACATGTATCAAACCTATATACATTATACTGGTAGAAAGAGAGCTGTTTAAAAAATCTAATTTTTTGTTGTTTTTTTTAAAAAGCTGGATGTCCCAACTCCTTGATAAAAGATGCACATCACTTTTGTGTACTAGGAACTGAGCAGGTAGTACATGTATATATGTATCCATTGCTTTCAAATAGTCACTTAAGGTAGGATTCTTCTCATACTTCCGATATTTAAATATTTATGAAAATTTGTGTGAAAATAATTTAGAATATGTATATTCTAAAAACATAATGGAAAAAAAGATCGACCATTTTATTTCTGTGTCAAGGACACTCAAACTAGGGTACTAAAAATAGACATAATTTTTCACTCAAATATCACTTTACTGCTTATGTCTTAAATTACTTGTACCAAAAAAATTCCAAGACAGCCATTTTTCTAATGAAGACAGTTTATTATCACATAGGGTCAAAGTATTTTGTAACAGTAAAAAAATTTAAGAATACTATGTAATCTTTTCAAGAAACTTTAATCCGAATTTCCTCTGCCATTACATAAAAAGCAAGCAAAATTAAGTCAATCTTTACAATTTTGACTAATTTTTTTAATACTAGCCTATAATTAAAATTTCTTATCTTAGTTGTTATTTTATCCAACTATTACTTGCAAGTCATATACTAAGTGGAAAATGAAATTGACCGTTTTATATTATAGAAATCTTAACTCGAATTTCCTCCATTACAAATTGCAACTTCTAAAAACCACAAAAAATCAAATTAAATTTCAAATTAATCAAACAAAATCAAAATTATTAGCATTATTCAGTTTATTTTTGATGCATTAAATATCATTACTTCCTTTATTACAAATATTAAATTAATCCAGTTAAGGAATGCCACTTCAAGATTCCTCCAATTAATACAAAGATTGAAACATTTATCATGTCACAATGGCGTTAAATGGAGAACAGTAAAATATTTAATTTGTACCAGCTCATTTTGTTCTTTAAAATGCACTGTTTATAAATTTTCTGAAAATCAATACATACACTTGTATATATTTTGAAAAAAAAATTGTATTATATAATATAACTCAAAACTGGGTTACAATTTTCTTTGAAAAAATGATAGGATCAAGATCATCTATAAAAAAGGTACATTTCTACAAGCCGGCCTCCATGCCTAATGAAAACATTCAGTGAATGCTTAAAAAAGTGATTTGATGACCTTACATGAAATAAATACACAATAACACTCTGTACAAGCTATACATTTCTAAACTCTGAAAAGTAATTAATTCTTGACCCTTATAAGCAAAATATTTTGTACAAATAAGAGCAAATTCAGTCAATAAATCTTGGTAAATGTAAAAGAAACATGAAATTTTATTACATGTACTTTGGAATTAAAGACAGCTAGCATCTGCAGCAGCTGACAAAGGGATATGACATATTTAGTCTATAGAACAGCAAAACATATGGTCTAATTTACAAAGGCAAAGAAATTATTAGCTAATTAATTTACCAAGCTAGTAAGTAATAATATTACATTACTTGGGGTAATATATTCAGATCAAAGAACAATACTCAAGTAAAATTGCATGACAATTATGCACAATTATTAATATTGAAAATATTTATAAACCAAGGTTTTTTTTACACATAAAAATGATAATGGTTTTTAGCTGAAAGCTCAAGTGAGCTTTTCTGATCAAATTTTGTCTGTAGTCCGTCTGTAAACTTTTCACATTTTGGACTTCTTCTCAAGAACCACTGAGTCAATTTTAACCAAACTTGGTACTAAGCATCCTTGGGTGAAGGGGAATTTAAATTCTTATAATAAAGGGTCAAGTCCCCTTCAAAGGGGAAATAATCAAAGAAATACAAAAAAGGGTTGGATCATTAAAAAATCTTCTCAAGAACCAGTGGGGCAGAAAAGCTAAAACTTAAATGGAAGCATCCTGAGGAAGTATAGATTTTTAATTGTTCAAATCATGACTCCAGGGGGTAGGGTGGGCCACAATAGGGAATCAAAGTTTTACATAGAAATATATAGGACAGACAAACAGACAAACAGACAAACAGACAGGACAAAAACAATATGCGCCCCGAAAAAATTCGGGCGCATAAAAAACTTTTAAAATCTTCTTCTCAAGAACCACTGGGCTAAAAAAGCTGATAGTAATGTGGAAACATCCGAAGGTAGTGTAGATTCTAAATTATTCACATCATGACCCCTTGTGCTTTTGAGAACAAGTGGACTAAACTAGCTAAACCTTATGTGGAAGCATCCTGGGGTAGTGTAGATTCTAAATTGTTTAAATACATATGCAATGACCCTAGGGGAGGGAGGGGCCACAATAGGTAATCCAAGTTTAACATAGAAATATATAGGAGAAAATTTTAAAAATCTTCTCAAGAACAAGTGGACTAAAAAAGCTGAAAGTAGTTATATGGAAGCATCCTGAGGTAGTGTAGATTCTAAATTGTTCAAATCACGAATCCCGGGGTAGGGCTGGGCCATAATAGGGAATCCAAGTTTTACATTGAAGTATATGGGGAAAAACTTTAAAAATCTTCTTCTCAAGAACAAGTGGACTAAAAAATCTGATACTTATGTGGAAGCATCCTTGGGTAGTGTAGATTCTTAATTGTTTGAATCATGACCAATTAGGATTGTCAAGGTCAAGATAGGTATTACAAAGCAAGAAATCTGTCATATGACATAATGGCCAAAGTTACTCAGGTGAGCAATGTGGCCCATGGGCCTCTTGTAACATTTATAGTGATGTACACCCAAGTAAAAGTTAATAAAATGCTTAACTTTCAATATTTGCAGCAAAATGGTTGTTTAATGATGAAATCACTTTCTGAGATTTTGTTACTCGTACAGTGTTTTGCACTGGTTCTGACAAAAGATTCAGAATTCCTTCACTAGGATTTCTATAGTAAGCTAGCTGTAAATATCTGTAATTCAAACCACTTCCAGCAATTTTGTTAACCATGCTCCTACTGATAACCCTATCTTTCACCAAATGTTCTAAAGAAGGACAATTTTTCTGCTTTTCTAAACAATAAAGATGACTTCTTAATGCACTCGAAAATGAAAAGGTTGCAGCTGAAAACTGAGCACTACAAATATCTATATCAACAGTTTCAACAAGAGTTTTCAGAGCCAAAACATCTTCAACAGCATCATGTGCATTGTAATTTGACAAAGTATATTCTTTGAAAATACTTTCCTGTGAGTATGATTTCAGTGTTGGGTCAAAAATTTTGAACAAAAGTCTGGTGTCAACAAAACCAGCAATACAATGTGAAAATGCTTCAGTTTTAGAACAAGATTCTAATGCATTTAAAAAAAGGTGGCAGTCAAAAGACTTCAAATTATGGCCTATTAAAACAACTTTGGACTGAAATTTACTAAAAAAGTCCAGCAAAGCATCAATAGCAGCTGACAACTTCAATGCACTGACTTGCACACCATGGCTGTACATTTTTTGGTTGATGATTCTTATTCCTGTAACTTCTGCTGCCTTTGCTGTCATTGGAATTTCAGGCATAACAAACGTTGAAAACCTTTCATTTCCATGGACTGCAGCTATTTGGGTAATGTGTGAGCTTCTTGCTGTAAGGTAAAGGTTGTATTGGTTGTATGTTGTTTAACGTCCCTCTCAATAATTTTTCACTCATATGAAAACGCCACCACTTGCTACAGTGGAGAGCTACAAATTTTGTCCTATACTCGACACTCAGGGCCATTGAGCAGTGAGAGATCTTTTTAGGGCCAGCATCTACTGCGACACATCGTCTCAAGCCACGGTCCAGAGTCCACATATAGTTCTCTCATGTCCGTGGCTGCTTGATCACAAAAAGTATCGTAATCTTGAATATTTACGCCTCTCTGTTGTGACGTTATATTCAGTCAATGATAAGTTTTGTTTCCATCGCAATTGAAATCAACAAATTACATCAGCAGTATTTCGTACAATGCGATTGGGTATATATTGAAAGGTCGCATCAAAGTTCATAATCTGACTATGCTTTACTCGCATTGGTCAATATCTTAATCAGGTACGAAATATTCTCTTCTCATGCAACCATGGCCAGAATATGAGAGCATCGTACAATTTGGTAGTGGTTTGCGATGATGAATGCGACACGGAACCACGGTTTCATCCGAAGGACTGGTCTCCAAGTCCCACAGTGGGAATCGAGCCCATGACATAAACATTAACTTCTTACTTCGCGACTCTAGAGCTGTAAGGGAAAAGAAAAAAATATATAATTCATTGACTTCCCTTTTTTAGAAGCGCTAGGCCTTAACCATATACATGTATTTTCACTATAGATACAGCCATGCATTCTGATGTGATATTTAGGAAAATCATCTTATTCCTTTTAAGTTTTATTTAAGGAATGAAGCTTATTTCAACTTTTATTATATGATATAAAATAACTTGGGGCAATTTACACTTTATAAACCGCAAAGCGGTTTATAAAAAAGTGTAAACTGCCCTAAGTTTTGTTATATCGTATAATGTAAGTTGAAATAAGCTTCATTCCTTATAATTTAATTTCAGTGCAAACAATGAGACAATTTTCCCCCAGAATAAGGCTTCACATTAATTTTAAAAGTAACGTCAAGCAGAGTAGAACGTTTTTTGCAGTAACTCATTGTGACATAGGCAAGTAATGTTATACAAAATGGATAAAATCTTTTATCCAATCAAATGACGTGTTACAAGTAAAATTAAATTATTCAGGTTAAGACTACTGTAAATGTTTTATATTTGGCATGTATGACCTTTGGTGGACAATTATGTTTCAACATGTTAGCATAAATTTTATTTAGCACTGTCTTGATGTGCTAGATATATATATATACATTGTAAATCTATGATAAACAAGAATTTTAGTAATGTACTTCATTTAGCAGACAATGCTTTTTGCTAAAATCACCAAATAGAATACACCACTTATTATTATCCTTCAGAATTATACAGTCAATCTGATTGGTTTAGAGCAGGTCACGTGCAGGGAGACAACTCGTGATGTCTCCCTCACGCGCAGGGTGACAACTGACTGTTATCTCCCTTCAGATGACAATGAAATAGCGTAAGCGAGCATGCACGGTTACAACTGTGTTGTCGCCCTTTTATAAAGACTACAGTGGTTTAAGCGAGATAACTCCTATTTATAAATACAATGGCTAAATATGCGAGATCGGTAAACAATAAATTCTAACGATGACGTCAAAGTTGTCTGTTGACATATTTTGAAAGGATGGAATCGGAGCAGAGTAGAAGAAAACAAGAGGTTTGATTAATATTTTCTACTCTATCTAATTGATAATTATATATATATACAGGATAATAAAACTATTATGGACTGTTTAGAAGGGAGACATCACCAGTTATCAGGTCTGAGTAGGGTTGTAAGCGCCCTCGGGTGACAACCCTACTCAGATCTGATAACTGGTGATGTCTCCCTTCTAAACAGTCCATAATTGTATAATGTAATACATTACAGTATACAACAATGCATGACTTTAAAATTTGGCTGAGAGGTTATTTTCATAAACAGTTAACTAAGTCAAATGTTTACCAATCTGTTTCATATAGTCTATGGATATTTCCATTTGCCTGATTGAGACAAAGAGTGCATTGCAGGTGCTTACCCCTCCATGGCACCTGATCCCACCTCATTTTTAGAGGTCCTTTTGTTTGCCCTGCTACCAATTTATATTGACCTTGATTACTGCTCGTTATCTTCACATTTCATGCCAAATATAATTGATCTAATTCATACATGCACCCACCTAGTCCTGTTGATTCCAGGTCAAAATAAATTAGAGGGTTTTCCATGGAAAATTCTGCTACTTCTGGAGTTGGCTTTAGCACAGGAGGTGGAATTTCTATAGCTTTATCATCCTTTAAGTTAATACTGTCAAGTGCAATCTGGGAGCAGTAACTTACTGGCTCTCTTGTCTCTTTCGAAGCTGTCGTTTGCTTTCTACAATAAAAATAAACTTGATTTTTTATCTAGTACTCTATGTGACATATCATGTGATTCATATGACAAAATGTATTTCCATTTTATGATAGCTAGTATGATACTGTTTCTTTTACACAATTTATGTCTTTTCTACAAATGTGCATGAGGCCTATATACTTGACTTTACAATATATTATTTCTTTCTAAAAAAGAGTGGAAATGGTGAGAGAAAGGCCAATTTTTTCAATATATTAGTACCTGTTTATAACTAGAGTCAATTCTAAATACTGCACATGTACCTTTGGGACACTGAATTAATCTATGCTAGTCAGTCAAAAATTTAAACAGAAATTTATGTATATATATATATACTTACCTTTTGGCTCTGAGATATAACCTCCTTTTCTTGGCTTTTGTGGTGACATCTAACGCTCTTTTCCTCCTAGCTGCGAGACCTTTCTGAGTTGCCAGTCTTCTTGTATATGTACCAGGTGAGAGACCTAGTCGTTTATTGACCTGTGCAAAAAAAACAAAGAAAACATAAACAATGTAGGTCTATGTTAGTCTTATATAACATCATATTCTTTATGAAATTAAAAAATAATTTTTAGCAAATTCACATTTATAAAACATATTGTGTTCATTAGTAAAGATAGTATAATTTTAGTTGAGGCAGTTTACACTTAGTTAATTGTTGATAACAGAGACCAAGTAATTACCTGTATTAAGTAATTTTCTCCCAAGTTCTTTTGGGCGACGCTTGCAGCAACTCGATAGCCGATGGTCCGACTATAGAGCCGAGACTTTGGAGCCTTAGACGCTACTATCTGATTAAAATTTTCATTCCTCTGTGTGCTTCCAAGGTTGGCCAACTTGAATGAGTGCTTCTTAAGTTTGTTGAAAATAGCCTCTAAACTTTGCTGGAGCTCTTCACTTTTCAAGGGCTGACCAAAGGGAAGAGAGGAATACTTTGAGGTGGCAGGATTTCTCTTGTGATGGCACCAGACTTCGTTGCATTCCACATGGTTGCCAAATGGGTGCAAGGACAATGCTGATAGACCTTTTTCTATTCCATCTGGGTTTCCTTGATTTTGAGAAATCATATAATTGAAACATTTTTGCAGATATTTGATTACTTTTGAAGACAGGGAGCTGTGTTCTTTTTTAAGGTTATACAAAGAATTCGCAATGTTTTTCTTGATATGGTTCTTGTCTGACAACTTTTGGATGTTGGAACTTATGTCAAGAACTCTTGACATTACAGTAGTGTCATCATCTGCCACCAATCCTTCTATCTGGATCCCCTTTTCTGTTGTTTTGCCAATCAGCTCTACCACCATGTCCGGTTCCATTGACTTGCATGGAACTTCCTATATTAATGCAAGCAGACAATGAGAATTCTTTCACATATGGTATATTTTCATTAATTATATAATCATAAATCATTTAAATGTAGTGACACTTTAAATGTCTCCACAATAAAGTTGTGGACAAGACACAAAAATTAACAATTTTCCTATTAGAGACCTTCACATTGCAAAAATGACCTTGGGTCAGGGTAATGACAATTGTCTCTTAACCATTGATCAGTTTTTGATCGAAAAATCAACAATCATTCAAAATTTTTCCATTGGAGTAAGTATATTGACTGCATGTACAAGAATTTTACTTTTACACAGTCCATGATCTTATAATAACTATATAAACAATTGATCAATAATAACTCAAGTTACTGGTCATATGGAATCTGTGTGTCAAGAATAAAATCAAATGGTTCTCCATTACTTAAGAAATGACTTTATTTTTGAGAATTTATGAGGACATAAACTATGAAGCTTCTATCATGCCAGCATATTTTATACAATTATGAACTTCAGTGTAGGTTGATATGTGGTTATAAGGACTCGCGAAGTCCCTATCATTTTCTGTGTCTGAGGTCAATATCAATATTGCCATGAGTCCTTATAACCACATATTGACCGTTCACTGAAGTCCATAATTATGAGAACATGATTTTTTTCTAATTTGAAAACAATCTTAGGGAAATATTCTTGAAAATGTAAATATAAGGCTACGTCATGATCCCAAGTCGACAGACAGATGGACATGGTGATAGCATATATACACTCTACAACACAGGTTAAATAAAGTGTTACCTGTCCAATTCCGTTTACAGTTATGGGGAGCAGGAAGTTGATGGTTTTCAGCAGCAGTGTCACAGATTTTGCATGATTTGTTGCGAACACTGTAACCCAGAATTTTGCCTGTTTCATTTCCGACCATGGAGCAATGTCCTGCAAATTTAAAATGTACACTGTATGAAAGCAGGCCATAAGAAATTACTGCAAGCAGGCCATGAGAAATCAGACTTTTGATGATATAATTATTTGTACAAGTATGAGGCAGTGATAAATGTAATATTTCATTAATAAAATGTTTTACCAGTTAAACTTTCAAACGAACGACCACTACCCCGCTTTTGCCATGCTCCATCCATGCTTACTGTAATTGAAGAAGAATGCTTGTTCCTGAAAAAAATCATGAGTAATTAAATGAATGTTCATACATTAAAAGTCAGAGAAAGTTAATTCTGTACAGCAGGTTTTCTTGGCCGGTGTAAAATTTGGCGTTTTGCCTGCTCCGAATTTTAGGTACGCCTATAATTTTGGCGTAATTTATTTTAGAGAACACAGTGTTTCAGCTCTCTGTACATAAAACACAAAGAAGAGTACTGAATATTTTAGCCATTAAAATTTTTGCAGGCTCCCATCAAAACACTAAATTAAGCCAAAATTAGCACCTTGCTAAAATAACCGGCTATACAGTATGAAAAAAAATCATATGGAAATATTTTTAAGCCATTACACAGCAATAAATTCAACATGGCTTATGAAAAAGAGATGGCAATAATGATCAATTATGAAGAAAAAATGTTCACATGATATTTTCAATAAATATCAGCTTGTATTAGAATTAAACATTTTTTTAAATAGAGAAGGGCCGATCCAATTTGTCTGCATGTATTATTTTTCCCAATTGTAGCTGTCAATATAGTACTTTGTGGTTTATATTATTTACTTTGTGGTTGCTCTAACTTCTTCTTTGAGAGCATCATCAACAGAAGATGAAGCC